TCTCACCGTTAAAAAGATACCCATGGTGAGCATGGTAAGTGGGACACACTGTATATATCACACAATGTTGGACACATTTTTATTATTATACGAGTCAACTATAGAAATATGATTTTCTTGTGATTTATCCATGTTTAGTGAAAAGAAGGAAGAATATCATTTGAAATTATGGCGTGTAATGTCATTCCAAAGCAATCTATTGACATTTGACATCTCGTATTTGGATTGCCTATGGATTAAATGGCCGTCATCTGGTATGCTTGCTCACTAAATAGGAAAAACTCGCCATAAAAATCATATTTCCTGTTGAATTTTCTATCTTAAAATGTGCCATTGAAGTTCATCATGAATATATGAAGTGTCCAATGACAAAATAAAAAGAGCAAGTACCTGTAAATGCATCCAACACAAAGGGGAAAAGAAGGCAAAATTTCAAACTTTTTCTTGAAATATCGTTTAATTTCTATCTCCTTACCAAACAGAGTTCCGTATTCCTTAACTCAACACGTATTCAAATAAATTGAGGATATTACTTTTCTAAAGGCTGTGTCTATTCATCGGGGCGCCCCGCCGTATAGGCAATTTTGCTATCCATCGGGGCGAGATGCGACTGGCGTTATGCGGCGCCGACTGAATGACTTCATCATACTTCGTCTCGTAAGCAACTGGTTGGCTCAGTAAGCAGAGCATCGGCATGCCAAGCCGGTGGGCCGGGGTTCGAATCCGTGCGAGGCTCATCTTTTTTTTATTTTTTTCTTGTTCTCAAGTGATTTCTAAAAAATATTCTCTATGGGAAATAGGTTCATTTAGGGGTTTTCTATGTTTAGGCCAGAGGTGAGGTTCGGTTAGGTTAGGTTAGAATAGAATATTTTATTTGGTGTTAATACAAGTACAGATATACTCATAAATAGTATATGTACCGCCGAAGCGAGTACATATACTGGAACGCTTTACGATTTTGCGTGTCATCCTTGCGCAGGGGCCATGCTAATCTTCTCTGTATCGTTCCAATTTTTAGTATATGTACCGCCTTCTCATTTTTTATGCAGAAACAATATTTTCCTTCCTCAAGAAAAATTCTCCTTCTTCAAGAAAGAAGGTTCATCTAGGTCGATTGATTTTTAAAAAAAAATTCCTTCCTTATATTAGACTCGCGCATCACGCCCCGATGGATAGCAAAATTGCCTATTCGGTGGGGCGCCCCGATGAATAGACACGGCCTTTTCTAAAGTTATATAATCTTGATATTGTATGTATGTATATGTGTGTGTATCTATTTGCAGTAAATAAACTATATTATCATTATTATTATTCTCTAACGATTTCACTCAATGCGGAGTATTTTCTTTTTCATAGCTGGAACTTGAGATTTCTCGAGAATAGCCGAAAATGCTTGGACTCTTTCAGTGATGAACGAACATCATTTCAGTAGTCACATCTCCGCTACCTTTCCTTTTCACTTTCACTCTCTGTGTCAGACATTTTAAATTATAAATTCTCAATAATACTACCCAGTTGAATCGGAAGGATCAAATTCACCTTAAGTCATGGAAACCATCCATCCTTCTCAAAGTGGTCCAGATTTTTTCAAAGAAAAAACGAAATACACCAAGTCGGTCGACCACAAAATTATATTACACAATTACTAGTGTGACTAGTTTCGGCTAAACAGCCATCTTCAGACACAAATTGAATAAAGTACCTGTAAGACCTGTTTACTTTCCGTGGACCTTCTTCTTCTTCTGCCGTTATTACTTTTACTACATTTGACATTTCTTCTTCTTCTTTTTGGTCTTCAACCTTACCACGTACTTCTCATAGTTTTGTTACAAGGAGATTAGGTAATTAACCCATAGTTTCCTTTGCAATGATTTGTTTATTTTGCCAAATAGTTTTCTGTACCTTACGATGATTTTGTCATGTCATTTAGTTTGTATAATTTGTCACTGTCATTCAGTTTTGTTATGCTGTCACTGTCATTTGCTTACTTCGGCGATTCCTGGATTTCTGTCTTTCAATAGCCATCCAAGATGAAACTCAGTTGAGTGAATTTAAATATCAAATTTTTTTCGTGCCAATGTTGAACCTCATGATTATAAGGTTCTTTTGGCTGTTCAGCCGTTATAAAAATTTAATCACCCCTTTACCGGACTGATTATTTACGTTGAAATAACCGCTTGATTTTTATTTGTTGAATTTGTAATCACCACATGGCCTAGGTATGTTTTTTCCTCAGCAAACTTATTGTTCGTCTGTAATTTCATCTCTTACAGGTACTTTATTCAATTTGTGTCTGAAGATGGCTGTTTAGCCGAAACTAGTCACACTAGTAATTGTGTAATATAATTTTGTGGTCGACCGACTTGATGTATTTTGTTTTTTCTTTGAAATTCACCTTAATTCACTTGCGAACAGTATTAAGTATGAAACGAATAAACTACGCTACACTAAGTCTCAATCTGTCATAATCGCTGTACATTTTCTTCTTCTTTTGTGTTTATTGATTTTCTGACTCCTTGCCAATTTCACCAGATCCGGTGAGGGCTATACCTTTTAATTTATTCATCCGAAGCATTTCCTTGCAAGAATGATGGAAGTAAGATATGGTGCGCGTATTCGGCCATAATTACGTATTGAAATTTTCAGAAAAATCACTCGACCGCCTACTATAATTTCTCTACGTCACAACGAGCGAGACGTTGATTCTACATTTTCCTGCTAGATGGTGATGCTGCTATTGCTGACGAGTGGAAATAAAATGGCAAATGGCATTTTAGGTACGCGGAACATATGTAACAGTGGGATTATTCAACTCTGAATTCGAAAAATCTGCGACAATTTCAAAACTGACAGATATCATAATTGTGCAATGTCGCCATCTATTAGAAGATCGACGGAACCATTGCTCTCGCTGTTCTGGAGAGGTCGAGTAAAAGGACCCCGCACTAAACTATAGGAAAAATGGCTCTCGATGAAAATCGCTGAATTTTTGGTATTTTGCAGACTTTGATATACTGAACAGATATTCCATCGAACGAACCTCAAAAAATGGACAGTCTTTCCGATGTAGATCTCCAAATGTCATTTTTTTGAGAAAAAAAAAAGTATCTGAAAATGGTTGCATTTTTGGCATGTTGTAGATAGGAATGAACTGATGAAAAAATCCAATTGATCTAACCTCCAAAAATTGACAGTTTTCTCGATATTGACCTCCAAATAGAATTTTTTCAAGTAAAAAAATCTCTGAAAATGGCTGAATTTCTGGTATGTTGTAGATAGAAATGAACTGATGAAAGAATCCAATTGACCTAACCTCACAGTTTTTCGATATTGACCACCAAGTGTACGAATGGAAAATAAGATGAATAGAACAATAATCAATAGACAAAGTTGCTGTTTTCGAATTAGTATTTGACGTTTCATTCTTCTAAAAACAAATCTTCTTCATATGATACATCCACAGGTGAAGAAAACCGAAGAGAGGATGTAATGAAATAATAGTTATTTATGTATTAAGGGAATTATGAGGGCCTTAATTACCGATGGCAAAGTTTGCGTCCCGAGGGCCTCTGGCCCGAGGGACAGCAATTGCCAGAGGTTATTAAGGCTTGATAATTCCCGTGATACATAGATCATTTTATTTCTGACTGATTTCATTCATTAGATACCTTTCCGATTGGAAGTTAGACATGTTTTTCCGTATAGTTTCAATGTCATCAGAACGTCAGATGATGATCTTGACTACCGCGAATAGGAGATTCCTTATTGCTACGTTATTGCGTGGTTGTTGCTATGCATTTCTTATTTAATTTTAGCTAGAGGGAATTATAGCATCTATAACATCCCAAGGGAGTTATGACCCTCATTATAGATATCGTAACTATGACGATATAAGCTTATAATGTCACTGTCAGAAATAAATATTATTTAAAAGATGGCTATATAGTCTTTCCGAAATCAATGGGGTTGTAGGTATACACACTAGTCGAATTTATGCCATATATCTATTTTATTTTGATCATTCCATCTATTATGGAAGTAATCGATACACTCATTCATTCATAATCACCTCTCACCAACCCTATATAGCCGGCGATGACGTGACATTGACATACCGATACCGATAAACACTAAGATTTTTATTGTTCAACAACCAATGAGAATATTTCCAAATTCTTCATAGAATTGAGGATTTATTTCCACAGTAGGAGTGGAGTGTAGTGTACTGACGTATAATTGCAATGGATTGATCGCGGTATATGACGTCATCACGCGTTCTACCGCAATTTTCATGTAATGAAATATCGTGAATTTCAATAAATATTTACAATATCTAAAGAGATCTGAAGAGAAAACGGTTTGCGACAGTGAACAAAACCTTTCAATTTTTTGAGGTTACTTCAGTTGGATTTTTTCATCAGTTCATTCCTATCTACAACATACCAGAAATTCAGCCAGTTTCAGATATTTTTTCTTGAAAAAATTGCATTTAGAGGTCGATATTGAGAAAACTCTCAATTTTTGGAGGTTAGGTCAATTGGATTCTTTCATCAGTTCATTCCTATCTACAACATGCCAAAAATGCAACCATTTTCAGATACTTTTTTTTTTTTTTTCGAAAAATGACATTTGGAGGTCAATATCGGAAAAACTGTCCATTTTTTGAGGTTAGTTCAATGGAAGATCTGTTCAGTATATTATCAAAGTCTGGAACATATCAAAAATTCAGCGATTTTCATCGAGAGCCATTTTCCTTCTTGTTTAGTGCGGGGTCCTTTCTGAAACAAAAGCGCATCAGTAATTACACACCATATCTTACTTCCATATCATTCTTGCAAGGAAAAGGTAGAGATTATGAATACGAATTGAAGCAGAACCTTTTACTTCTAGCTTTTGCTTCTACCTTTCACTTGAAAGTAAATGCTCCATTTCTATAAATATTGACTATTATCATTGAGTATTCACACTTAATCAAGGCTATTATCCTTATTATTTTCCAGAGGAACAGGGAGCTGGGCAACAGACCGCGCTCCGGGTTGTGGAAACGGAAGACTGGCATCCATGGGAGGAAGTTGCGCAGGCCGCCACCTTGCAAGACGATCGTGTCCCAATTAAAGCAGGACGACGACACGATCGTGCTCACTTGTCACAGGCCGTTCGTGAAGACGATGAGAAACCAGTTCCATTACTGATAGGTGTCAATTGAATAGATGTGTTATTTGTTCTTGTTGTTTTTTTTGCCCTCTACCGACAGGCGCGAGTACAGTGTTTTCTGGAAGAAATCTTCATCCAGCAGAACCTAACCCTATAATAACACAAGATGTCCATTGGATTTCTGTTTTGTGTCCATTATATGTCCAAAGTATCCATGGACACATTCTGGACATCCATAGAATGTCCACGGGCAGCAATCCTAGAAAAAGTAAGTCATATACAGGGTGTTTCATTGGGAAAGGTAAATAATTCAACTGTGGATAGGGGTCACTGAGGTGATTTCAAGAAACCCATGGTTGATGGGTCTTCGACTTCTTACAACCGAGATACAGGATGTTTCATCAATTTTGTCCATATCTTCATTGTCTCATAACTTTCCAACCAACCTGTATATATTTTTAAAAATTGGTACACTTGTTCAATCTACCCTGTGGAATTGATTGAGGCAACAACAACAGATAAAATCCAGGTCCGGCTTCACTTAAAATTCACAAATTCTTTCTGCCAGAAAACAACACCCTATACATTCGAATTTCTCATTTTTTTGCCATATCTGAAAAGGACATCAAAATTACTATTCAACGATGTGCTTTCTATTCGTGCACAGACGATTTTAACTATTCATATTATGTGCTCAAAATATTATTTTTGCTCATTTTGGGGTACAAAATTGGAATCAGACGAGATTTATTAATTTCATTACTTCCTATTCAGTATACGTGAGTATTACATTCATTTAGTAGGAGTATTTCATATCGTTCTCTGTTCCAGACTTAGTTGCAGGTCCGTCATCAAAACTATACAGGGCTTTTCACGATTAGCGTTAATTAGATGTTTCTGGCAAATCAGGCAACGGATAAATCTGAAAATTCGAAGGTATGTATAAATTAACATGATCTACACGTCTGAAATATTTGAAACAATCCGGCGTTGCCGCTTCTACTCGAAAGTAGCAGTAACTTCGATTTTTCAAATGGGGCACCCTGGATGCTTCCTGAAGAGCTGATTTAATCGATTCACACAGTTCGGGGTCTAGTGGGACTAATAACTGAGATATTTAGAGTGAGAAAAATCGAGATGTTTCAACTTCAGAATTATTTTGCGAAAATATTTATTATTGATCAAAACGGCTTTTATGTTCCTATCTTAACTTTGTATCTATTGACATTTAATCGAAACAAATACAGGATGGTTTATAATTCAGATTTCTGCACCACCCTGTATCTGTTTCAATTGAATATCGGATGGAAAGTTGAGATGAAACATTGAAGCCGTTTTGACCATGCAATAATAAAAAGTTTCAACACAAAACATTTCTAAAGTTGAAACATCTCGATTTTCCACATCCTATATCTCAGTTATCAGTTCCGCTAGACCTTGAATGTTTTGAATCGCTGAATTCTGCTGTTCAGCAAGAATCCAAGAATGTGTAATGAAATACAGGGTGTCCCATTTGAAAAATCGAAGTTGCTGCTACTTTCTAGTAGAAGCGACAAGGCCGGACCATTTCAAATATTTCAGTAGTGTAGATTATGTTAATTTATACATACCATCGGAATTTCAGATTTATCCGTTGCCTGGTTTGCCAGAAACATCTAATTAACGCTTATCGTGAAAAGCCCTGTATAGTTTTGATGACGGACCTGCAACTAAGTCTGGAACAAAGAACGATATGAAATACTCCTACTTAATGAATGTAATACTCACGTATACTGAATAGGAAGTGATAAAATTAATAAATCTCGTCTGATTCCAATTTTGTACCCCAAAATGAGCAAAAATAATATTTTGAGCACATAATATGAATAGTTAAAATCGTCTGTGCACGAATAACAAGCACATCGTTGAATAGAAATTTTGATGTTCTTTTCAGATATGGCAAAAAAATGAGACATTCGAATGTATAGGGTGTTGTTTTCTGGCAGAAAGAATTTGTGAATTTTAAGTGAAGCCGGACCTGGATTTTATCTGTTGTTGTTGCCTCAATCAATTCCACAGAGTAGATTGAGCAAGTGTACCAATTTTTAAAAATATATCCAGGTTGGTTGAAAAGTTATGAGACAATGAAGATATGGACAAAATTGATGAAACATCCTGTATCTCGGTTATAAGAAGTCGAAGACCCACCCAGATAGCACCTAATGTTCTAAGAATATTCAGAAAAGCTCCTGGTCGAATATTCTATAGATATTTCCTCAAACTATTTTATAGATATCTCGGGAATATCTGAATATTTTCAGGATAATTCAGATATAATAACTTGGAATAATTAGGAAACATTCTCAATGGTATATTCTGAAAATATATATTTATAATAATATATGAATAATTCGATTGGTTAACCTTATAACATATTTTGGAAAATATTCTGGCAAGAATTATTCGGGAAATATTTTAGGAATATTTCACAGCAGATAGAAACATAATTTGGAAAATATTTTTATTCTGGTAGTAATAAGTATTCGAAAAAATATTTATTCAGAATAAAAATGTGATGAATATTGATAAATGACAAAAAATGGTGTTGGGTTGGTGTAAAGTGAAAGTGGGTGGTACCTTGTGTACATGTTCCAAACATGAGAAGAGGAAGAAGAGAAGAAGAAGAATATTAGGTTATGTCATATATTTCGTTGTTTTGTTTCGCTCGCTTTTCCTTTGTTCTTTTCTTTGTTTGACTTCGTGACTTCGACTCGTTTGGACGTTGTTAGACGTTGGCTTTGTTCTGATTTTCCAGCCATTTTACAGTAAACTTACTCCAAATTTTCTTGGATCAAGGTATTAGGTGAGTAGAAAATTATCTTGAATGAGTTCACATCATATTAATTTTTCCATATTTCAATTTTTAGTTTGTTTTTGCACATATTCGAAGGTACATAAATATCACCTGCCGTGAAAGATAAGTATTATTTATATAAATATCTATATACTTATTAATATATTTTTTCCAATAAAATTTTCAGAATACATTTTGGTTTTGGTTTTGAGTTCGTCTATTACCCTCTCTAGGTTAACCAACATATGACATGAAGAGAATATGCTAAAAATATTTTGTATAGGCAAAAAGATAAATCATGTGTTATGTTGAGAATGTTTAATCAGTATAATCTCAAATTATCCAATGAACATTTTCAAGATAACTCAATAATATTTTTATCATATTTGCATGAATCATTTATACTATATTTATTCATATTTATTCCAGAAATAGTCTAGGGATATATTTTGAGAATATTCTTAGACCCTTTAAAAGTGTCCCGTTTCTATAATCTGAGAATATTCTTGGATGATTATATTTTTATGTGGATATATTCATAGAATAATTGAATATTCTCGAAAAATATTCTAAGAATCACTCATGAATATTATTTTGCTATCTGGGCATCAACCATGGGTTTTTTGGGATCACCTCATTGACCCCTATCCACAGTTGAATTATTTATTACCTTTCCCAATGAAACACCCTGTATAGTGTCCATATTTCATGTTCTCTCTGATAATTTTCCTTAATACAACGTCCAACTTATGTCCATACGATAATGTCCAATGGAAAACGATTTGCAGTAGTCCACACACAGTCCATATGATGTACATTGTTGCTTTTTCGTCTCGGGTATCGTCGAGATCGTTCGGCTCCTTCGAATTTTGTGTACTTTTCTGAATTTCTTTATTGTAAAAATGATATATTTCATAATATTCCTGTGTGAACAACGAGTGTTTTGTTATGCTATCTCATTCGAAGAATAAATGAGTCACTTATTCAAGTGCATGAAAGGCCATAACTCTATTCCGGACGGAACGGGTCTGAAATTGAGTGCCTATACTAGGGCTGTGCGATATTGAAAACTGGATATCGATATCGATGCACTATAACTCGAACATTTCTTGGCCGATATTGGAATTTCAACCAAAGGTAGAAAGCGTCATCCTTGGGCTATGCATCATTGGCGTCGGGTTTTAATTTTTGCGATTCGTTCTCATTGTACAGAGTGTGAATTAAGAGCCGGAAAAATTTGAAATGTGTTACCAATAATTTGGGAAATGTGAGGGACCCTAGAATTATTTTTCAGATGTTGAGTGAATGGTTGGTCCGATACCTCGAGACGTCTTTGGAATTTTTTGGATAAATTGCGTTGCTATGGAAAAATCGCCATTTTATGAAATTTCATTTTTATTTCAAAATGTGGCCTCTTTTGGTTGAACATTAACAGCCAACCTCTAAACTGGAGCAAGGGATATCTCTACTGAAGATAATTAACACCAGTAGCGCGAAAAAGGGGTTGATGATACTTGGAAACGAAAAATTCGTTTTTATTGATGAAATTCAACAGTTTCATTGATCGTTACAGTTGGAGAGGGGTCATATCCTCAATTTACATATTGTTGACAAATTCAGAGGCGCGCAAAAAAGGGTTCATGATATTTAGAAACGACAAAAACATTTTCATTGGAAAAATCAACAGTTTTATTGATCGTTACAGTTAAAAAGTTGTCATACATTCATTTAGCATGATATTGACCAATTCAGAAGCGTGCAAAATTGGAAAATCAGAATTTCGGTCTCATTATTATCATTGTTTTTTTTACTTATCCATGGTGGGCATCCAAGTTATCCATTGGCGTATTAAAGAGGATACATCATCAAGGCGATTCAAAAAGTTTTATATGGATACATTTTCAATAATTTTTTCAAGTGTTGTTCTTCGTTCCCAAGTAAAAATTTTCGTGTATCATTATTTATGAATGAAAATTCAAAAACGTAATTCTGGCTTCTGATGTTTTTCGAGCCGTACAATTTCATAATTTTATCAGAAAAAATTTCAAAAAATTTTGTCGATTTTTTTCAATAAAAACGTTTTTGTCGTTTCTAAATATCATAACCTCTTTTTTGCGCACCTCTGAATTTGTCAACATCATGCTAATTAAGGATATGATACCTCTTCAACTGTAACGATCAATAAAACTGTTGTAGTTTTTCAATAAAAACGAATTTTTTGTTTCTAAATATCATAAACCCCTTTTTGCGCGGCACTGGTGTTAGGTATATTCAGTAGAAATATCCCTTGTTACAGTTCAGATGTTGGCTGTTATTGTTAAACAAAGATAGAGGCCACATTTTAAAATAAAAATGAAATTATACATAAAATGGCGATTTTTCCATAGCAACGCAATCTATCAAAATAATTTCAAAGACATCTCGAGGTATCGGACCAACCATTCACCCAACATCTCGAAAATAATTCTATAGGGTCCCTGGTCCCTCTCATTTCTCAAATTATTGGTCAAACATTTGAAATATTTCCGGCTCTTAATTCACACT